GAGGCCCTGGCGCCGGCAGGAAAGGGCCCGAGTTGGGGTCGCCCCAGCGCACCTGTATCGCCCTTTTCAGGGGCGCACGGTAGAGGACGCGGACCGGAGGGCTAACGGGGCTTGCCTTCCAGTGCCCGCAGGGACGCGGTTCTGCGAGTGCGGCGCCGTGGTGATCCATAACTCCCACGAATTGGGGAAATTACACCGGCACCGCACCCAGGCTACCCAACCATCCAGCCGCGAATCATCCCAGGAGCGCTCCGGCGCCGCGGTTCGGGCCATGCTGGCGCGGGCGGCCCAGGAGGCGGACTTCGCGCAGTGGCTGCTGAGAGTTGCCTCAGGCCACGCGTCCAGCGAGAGTCCGCCTGCGCCGCTATCAATAACGGCTACCGTAGAGCGGGGGGCGGCGGGGCCGGGAGAGACATTGGTGGCGGCTGCATTGACACCGGAGGTGGCGTCAATGACCTTGGAGGCGGGTGAGAGAGCGGTGGGGGCTCCGGCGGTGCCCGCGGCAGACACCGAACGGTCCGAGGGCATGGACGTAGACCAGGCCCTTCTGGCCTATCTAGAGGACGAATAAAACGAATTATTCCCTCTTTGCAGTCTCTGTCGTTCGGGGGCCTTCTTAAGGGGGGAGGAGATGTGGGGAGCAGGTGCGCCCAGCCTCCCTTTCCCTTTTAGGGCAGCGCACGCGCCTGGTTGCGGGGACCCCTTCCCCCACGGCCGGCGCGTGCGATTCCCCCCCCTTTCCCGGCGCCAGGAACAGGTTCCCCTCTCCCTCAGCGAGGAAAGGTACCATTCTCGTCAGGGAGAGGGAAATCGGGTCGGGGAACAAAACGAGCGGGCAAACGGGCGCTCGCCTGTCTGACACCAGCGACCATCCCAGGAGGACGAACCCGCAACCCCTCCTGCGAGCCGAGGACGTCCACGACCGAGGTGTAAGCGTCAACACCTTTGTTATCTGTAGTATCTCCCCGCGACAGTGACGCGCGATTGCTAACGCTTAGCAATAAAGTGTTTGTTGTTGATCTGGCCAGTTGCCTTATTCGCCCGAACCCGTAGTAGTAGCTGCAATGAGGCAAGCTACGGTTGGGGGACGTCAACCGTGCACGGAACGACTGTGTGCGGCTGAAACATTAGCTATAGGCTTCTGCGTCAGCCGTACATAGGACGGTCCCCCCAACAGTGTTAGAGACGAGAGCTCGGCTCTTCGAGTCTCTGTCGGCCCCAGTGCCGAAATTGTAACGCCTCTGTATATATGCTGTACATAAACCTTGTTTAACTCACCGTCGTCTCGTCCGCTCGTCTTATCAGCTCTGCGCAGAAGCAGTCGCGAGCTGATAAACATACGCTACCAAACGGCTGGTGACCTTCCCGGCGAAGTTGGAAGCAGTGGCGCCTTCGAGGCCGTGTTGGCGTCCCCGTCTTTCGCAACAGTGGTGGCTTCGGCGGGATCGGTCCGTCTTGCGCAACAGTAGGCACAATGAGGGGGTCGTAGTAGGGCTTGAGACGGTCGACGTGTACAGTCTCGCGTCCTCGGCGGCGTAAATCTGGTGATTGTGTTTGGGGCTCGATGATGTAATTCACTGGCGAGGTTGTGTCAATGACACGGTATGGACCATGGTACCAGGCCAGAAGCTTAGAAGACAGGCCAGGAACGTGCGGGGGCACCCAAAACCACACAAGGGAGCCAGTACGAAACGTAGGCGCTATGTGATGAACGTCGTCATGTCGGGTTTTTTTGTAGACCTTGAGCCTCACTTGTCATAGACCGAGCCAACTGACGGCAGTCTTCGGCGTATCTGGCGACTTCAGAAAGCGGGGAGCACTCCGATGCATCAGAGCGGTACGGGAGTATGGTGTCGAGTGGGTGGGATGGTTCCCGGCCGTACAACAGAAAGAACGGGGGAAAAACCGGTAGTCGCTTGCGGCATGGTGTTATAATCGAAGGTAACAAAAGGTAATACAGCGTCCCAGTTAGGGTGGTCGGAGGAGGTGTGCATCCTCAGCATGTCGCCAAGTGTGCGGTTGAACCGCTCAGTGAGACCATTTATCTGTGGATTGCATGCGGTAGATTTCCAGTGGATGATGTTGCATTCAGCGAGGATAGCTTGGATGACCTCCGAAAGGAACACTCGACCCCTATCACAGAGTAATTCCCGTGGAGCACCATGGCGTAGAATGAAGCTGTGGAGAATGAAGAGTGCAACTTCGTGGGCGGTCGCTGCCGGTAGAGCGGCAGTCTCAGCGTAGCGTGTTAGATGATCGACGCTGACAATAATCCACCGGTTTCAAGAGCCACTATATGGGAGGGGGCCATAGAGGTCGATAACCACGCGGTCGATTGGCGAGCCGGGCACAGGAGCGGCTGTAATATGTCAGCAAGGTGCTGCGGAGGTGTCTTGTTCTGTTGGCAAGTGGTTCAAGACTGAACGTATTTCTGCACAAAGCGATACATTCCTCGCCAGTAATATAGTTGGTGCAGCCTTTCGTAGGTTTTCAGGGCACCTGCGTGAGCACTTTGGGGATCTGCATGGAAATTCATGCAGATGTCAGAGCGCATATGAGTAGGGACAGCAAGGAGCCACTTTCGACCTCTAGACATGTAGTTGTGGCGGTACAGAATGTTGTCTCGCATAGAAAAGTGGGCTGCTTGCCGGCGTAGCACTCTCGTAGAAGGGACAGCAGACGGATCGGTAAGGTAGTCCAGTAACAAGGCAAGGTATGGGTCTTTACGCTGCTCCGAAAGCATGTCAGTGGTGTCGAGTGGTAACAAGGTGGTAAAAAGTTGTGACAGAGAAGCCACATCTGGTATTAATGGCGATCGGGAAAGTGCATCCACATCCGCATGCTTGCGACCGGAATGATATACGACACGGATGTCGTATTCCTGCAATCGAAGTGCCCAACGCCCCAGGCGTCCAGAGGGGTCTTTCAAGGTGGACAGCCAACATAGACCGTGGTGGTCTGTGACCACGTCGAAAGGACGGCCGTAAAGGTATGGGCGAAACTTCGCCAACGCCCATATTATGGCCAAACACTCCTTTTCTGTCACGGAGTAATTTAATTCAGCCTTCTTGAGAGCGTGACTTGCATAGGCGACTAGGTATTCGGCTTGGGTGCCTTTCCGTTGTGCCAAAACTGCACTAAGACCGATGCCACTTGCATCGGTGTGAATTTCTGGGGCAGCAGCGGGGTCGTAGTGACGAAGAATAGGTGGTGAGGTCAGCAGGCGGCGCAGCTGGCGAAATGCGTCGTCACATGCAGGTGACCATGCAGATATACGTTTGCTGTTGGAAAGCAGACCCGTGAGAGGTGCGATGAAAGACGCGAAGTTGCGCACGAAGCGACGAAAATAGGAGCAGAGATTGACGAAACTTCTTAGGGCTTTCAGTGATGTGGGCAACAGGAAGTCAGCGACAGCTCGAAGCTTATCGGGATCCGGAAGAACACCGTCTCTTGTGATGACATGTCCCAAGATGGTTAGTTTTCGTGCTGCGAAGTGGCACTTCTTGGAGTTAAGTTGTAGGCCTGCAGAAGTTAGACACATCAGAATCTCGTGGAGGCGAACAAGATGTGTCGGGAAATCAGATGAAAAGACTACGATGTCGTCCAGGTAACACAAGCAAGTTTTCCACTTATGGGCACGCAAGATAGTATCGATCATGCGCTCAAATGTGGCAGGTGCGTTGCAGAGCCCAAATGGCATGACTTTTGAACTCATATAGGCCTTCCGGCGTTACAAAGGCTGTTTTAGGGCGATCACATTCAGCCATTGGCACCTGCCAATACCCAGAACGCAGATCTAAGGATGTAAAGTACTCGGCGCCTTGTAAACAGTCAAGAGCATCGTCTATTCGTGGTAGCGGGTAGACATCTTTCTTCGTAATCTTGTTTAAGCGGCGATAGTCCACGCAAAATCAACGGTGCCATCTTTTTTCTTTACCAAAACCACAAGGTTATGACCAAGCGCTTTGAGAAGGCTGTGTGACTCCAGGTTTAAGCATGTCATCTACTTGCTCCGTAATGACATGGGGCTCTTCGGTGGAAACGCGGTAAGGACGCTGTCGCAGAGGCGAATGTGAGCCGGTGTCAATAGTATGAGTGATAGTCGTGGTGCGGCCCAAAGCAGGTTCTTGAAAGTCGAAAGAAGAGCGAAACTTGTCAAGGAGAGCACAAGTTGACGGCGATGCGAGAGGGGAAGGTCTGCGTCAATAGCATTGTCGAAGGCTGACGAACTTGATGGCTCAGACGCATGAGTGATTGCGGCAGTGTGACATGGCGTTTCGTCGGGAATAATATCATCGATATGGTCGACAGGTTGCACATATCCTACGGTTTCACCACGAAGTAAGCCAATGGGGTAGTTGCAGCGGTTGGTAACCAGCGTTACGGTTAAACCAGACGCAATTGTAAGAACGGCAAATGGGAGAACGATGCCCTTGCGTTCAGTAAAAACCGGAGATGGCGTAAACACCACTGTGGCATCAGGTTGCGCCACCCATGAAAGGCTTATAGAGACCGAAGCTTCCAGAGGCAAGGTGATGTCGTCGTCAGCGATGAGTTTGCAGAGCCGAGGAGACCGGTCGGGTGGTGGAAATTCACATGTTGGCACAAGGGACACTTCGGCACAAGGAACAATCGATGATAGCTTCATGACGTGATAAGAAATCCCAACCGAGGATAAGGTCATGAGAGCAAGATGGTATAACAAAAAACTGTACGACGTTGACGACACGCACCGTACACACAGCCCAGGATGAATGATGGTTTTATGCTGAAGTTTTATGCTGGGTGCACCTATGATGTGAGTAAATAGGGTAAGTACAGACATTTCATTCATTATCTAACAGAGATTTTACCTGATTGAATGGTATTGCATATTCAACGCTAGGCTACTGCTGCTTTTCTGAAGGGAGACCGATTATAGTGCATATTTAGTATGCTTACAGCCGCAGCAGCTGATCAGTGGTGCATGATGTCTTATGCCGCTCTCCTTCTAACCACAGAGGAAGCTGTGTGAGAAGTTGATGGAGGAACTGAAGCTCTACGACACTCTGTCCAAAAAGAGGGACCGGGAAGAGCTGAGGTGACTGGATCTGATTTTACTTTAAATTTCTCTTTGGTTCGTTTCTGTTATGACTGCAAGTGGTGGGCATTAGAACTGGTGGGGTAACTGCCATTATGATTTTAACTAATATTTGATACTTTACTTGTCAACGTTATGGTGTCTTCAAGTCGGACACTACCCATAAGATAAAAGCGTCTCGCTACTACTGCTAACCAATCTTGTACTGCACTACTGAGCTTGCATCGGCATTCAGCGTCAATCAACGCTGCTGAGGCCGAAGAAGCTGGATTTGCTTATTTTCAAAGTTTCAATCATATTGAGGATGACTGGAATTTGGTGGTGGGCAACAAGCAAGAGAAGTTCACAAGCTATTTTCGTATAAAATAATGTGCACTAACTTGCAAAAGATGTTAGCACAGTGTTTTTTATCATACTGTCAGCAAATCGTCAAGTTAGCGCTTGTTATGATTTCTGAAAACTGTTTTGAGTTTGCTTTGATTCAAGCTCTAAATAAGCGTATTTCGTATTTTGAATTGTGGATATACTCTCATTATGGATATACACTCACACCTTGATATAATGAACCATGGCATAACAAAATATTGGTTATAACAAAGAAAATGAAAACTAGTCTGCCAATAAATATAGTGTTAGAAATGAACAGCTATAAGGAATTTTCGGATATAATGAACTCATTTTTGTGTAAGATCCAACTTTTTTGTAATAAGGTTTGAGTGTATCGAACTATATCACGATGGCTTTCGAGTTGGATTTATCCGGGTTCGACTGTATATAGGCATGGCATACAATATACACTTGACGTGTCATAAAGTAAGTAATTTTATGTGGTGGAAGAAAACAAGTTGTGATCTGAAATGCAAACCAGAGGGCAGGCGTTTCCAGTTGTTGGACGTGCTTTGGACAAAGGAATCATTGAAAATGTTCGGGTGCCAGCTAATGACATGGACCTTTTGGCGATTATCTAAATGAGCTGAGATATGAGATGGGGTCATAGGTAACTTTGCTTTCAAAACTGGGTGATTGAGGATTTTATTGCTACGTCATTTAACTGACTGCAAGGAAGCAGTCTGTTTTATTGGTGCGACACTGCTAGTGCAATGGTAGTTAGTTATTCTGTATCACTTTAAGTGAGTGGGTTAATTAACTATTAGCCTGTATAAATTGTTGTTTTGTTTTGAGTACATCTTTATTTAATTATGTGAAATTGTCACCGAAATAAGTGGCACACGCTGCTGCATGCAGGTTGACAGCCGCAGTGTGTAGAGATTTGCAAAGTTGAAATACCAAAATCATTGAGTGTAGTTGGTGCACTGCGTCAATAGCTGTGTTGTTTACCCACTGTTATTGTGGATAGTGGGACAAATGTGTTTGTTATCCCCTCTGTGCAGAAAGCAAAGGCTGGCCTACGTCGGCATCAGTCTGGATAACGTGCTGAAACCGGTGAGTTTGACGGAGTGCAGTTCTTGTGACTCTCACGTGCAACTTGCGTTACTGGCATGGGCTTTCGTGCCAATTCATTATGCAATGTGTGAGTACTGGGCTAACCTTTAGCCGTGTTCAGAAAGTTTGTCACATCTGTGCATGCAGGGGCTGCGTGAGTATTCTACACTTTCGAATATTAAATCATTTAACGTCATATTTGGCTCTATCTTTAGATTCTATAGCTGTTATTCGTAAGTACGAAAACTTACAACTAATATTTGAAGATGTGAATTGCATGTTACTGTGACATCACAGATTTCAAAGTACCCATATTTGGGCTGTGTTGGCTTAGTTAAACTGCCTGAAGCTTGCTACGTTGGATTCCTGGCTCCCTTGCAATACAATTCATTTTTATTGACACATCATATCGTAGGCCTTAGTTGACATCGCCAAAGTCTGACATCAAGTACAGGAACCTCAATCTGTGTTGCCTTTCATGTTTTCCTATTTTACTTTTTCTCGCTTTCCAAGCATCTTCTCGCAAGAATAATTGTGCTTGAGGTGTTAGAAAAGAGCGATCTATTAAGGCAAGGAAAACCTTGTTTTACTCTGATGTCCCTGTAAAATTAAAACGGTTCATTGCCACCTGTGTAAGACAAGCACGGAAAAGGGCACTCGCGTTTTCACTAAGCACCAGGGTTTCAGAATGACATCAGCAAAAGTGAAACGTTGAGTAGGCTGTAACATTACTACATTATAATGAAGGAGTTCAAAATTATATTTACGTAAGAGCAGCTATTCCTTTCTCCTGCAGAATGTTTGGTATTGAATACCAAGGGTGTCTTCCTTTCCGTTTCTTTTTTTTTTCTTTAACCTTTAGGAGAAAAAAGAGGAAGAAGTGTCTGCAGCAGAGGAAGATTATGAAGAGGATGATGAAGAGGATGAAGACAGCCGCAAGCACATGCTGCTGACCAAGCGATCATCGCGCAAGCGCAAGGCCATCAGCTACCGGTTCAAGGAGTACGACGAGATGATCTTTCAGGCAGTGCAGCCAGACATTGTGGCTGCTGAAGAGTGTGCCAAAGGTAGGCTCATTCTTCTTTATTGTGAAGTTCGCAAAAGAATGTGTGTAGCTGTCCTCGCCTCTAAATTATTTTCGTCTCTGTTCACGAGACGCCTCTCGCATAAGCACCGTCGAAGATTGGCTTCTGCTACTGAATTGTTTCATTATTGTGATGTTTGCATTGTTTTTCCACGGCGGACATCTCAGGCAGTGTGCTTCCACCTTTGATTTTCCTCTAAAAGAGTTGTTGACAAGCACGTGCATCTCAGGACCACTGAGGTTCACTTTATTGCCTAATGTGAATTGGGATCATGGGCTCGCCCTGTTTGTTTTCTAATAAACGCCACTGTCTTCCATTTTCATAATGCTACACTTATCATTTCATATTCCAGAGCACACCATTGTTGTTCAACTTTTTCTCAAGTTCTTATCCTTCAGGTTTCAACCACCAGTGCGAGTACTGGCAGTACGTGGTGATTGTGCACATTTCACTTTGGGGACTATCGGAGGTTGCCTGTCATGAGTTGTGAATGCCGTCTGCATGTTCTCCAGACCATCCTTATTCTTCAGTGAATGTTCACGGTCCTTTACTGCTTTCAATAGCCCGTTCATGGTGTTTTTTTTTTTTTTTTTTTTTTTTTGCATCTGTTCTCGCAGCAGTCCGTGCTCCAGGAGTGAGCCGGGGCAAAGACATGTCCAACCTTCTGGGCCCGGATGACGAAGACGAAGAAGAGGAGGAGGGCAAGGACGACGATAAGGACGACGAAGACTACGAAGACGAGGAGAAGCGGGCGGCCACGGGCGGCAAGAAGAGAAAGAGGGCTCGGAAGCTGACCAGCCTAGACTTCACCTCTGAGGAGGAGGGTGACGACGAGACTGATGAGTACCAGGGCTCTAGGTGGGTTTTTGCTTTTGCGTACAGTAGGTGAAAGTGAACACAACCAAATAATTAGAACATGGCTCACTCTTATAACTTTTGACCACATGGCAGTGCCCATTTGAACCATAGGTGGAGAGCTTTCATATTTCATATTCCTGGAGGGTGCAGGGCACTCAAAATTTGTCTTCTGCATTCTCTCCCTCTATCTCTCTCGCGCGTGTGTGTGTGTATCTATATATATATATATATATATATATATATATATATATATATATATATTTTTTTTTTTTTAAGGGAAAGAAGTGTATACTTAAGGGCTCGTTTTTCCGTGTTTTGACACTATAATAATGAAAGTATAAGAGAGGTTATTAGACCGAATTGTAAGGTAAATGTGAAAAAAGAAAAGTGGGTGAAAAGAGAACTTGCCGTGAGCAAGAACCAAACCTGCAACCTTCGAATAATGTGTTCGATGCTCTACCACTGAGCTATGACGGCGGCTATCCCCCCAGCCACTTTATTGGATATATATGTGAATTTAAACGTGGGAGTGGCAGTCAGTGCCATCTGTAGCCATGGCGGCGAGTGTGGCACACTCTTTTATGAGCCTGTGTGGCGTCACATAGCACGTGAACTTATTACGAGCTGGCATCTGACCAATAGTCTCTCGTATACAACCTAAGGCACCAAATCCTCCAGTACGAGACCCTCGTTAATGAATAAGGGAAAGACGACTATACTTAAGGGCTCGTTTTTCTGTGTTTTGACACTATACTAATGAAATCTAACAGACAATAATGCCAAGGAAAGTATAGGGAAGGTTATTAAACCAAATTGTAAGGTAAATGAGAAGAAAGAAAAGTGGATGAAAAGATAACTTGCCGTGGGCAGGAACCGATCCTGCGACCTTCGAATAATGCGCATGTATATATACATATACACACACACACACACACACACAACGCAACCGGAGCGTTGCCAGCAAGGATAAATATATATATATTTCCCAACAGTATAGGGAGGCGTCCTCCCTTCGTCAGATGATGAGTTTTTGATCTTTTGTCTAACTCATCCTCTGATAAAGGGAGGACCCCCCCCCCCGAAACTGTTGGAAAATATATATATTTATCCTTGTTGACAGTGCTCCCGTTGTGGTATATCGCATATAGTCACGAAGACAGACTGGCCCATTAAACTATATATATATTGCCATGTTCCATTTCCAAAGTTTTCGTTATCGTCCCAAAACACCACACGATTCTCAGCGCAAACCGCGCCTGCAGTTTTGTAGAAGCCCGGACTCCGGTGGGAGCCCTTGCTGTCGGCGGCTTGTTCGCTGCTCCTGGATGGTGTCGGTGTCTTCTCCGCAACGTGGGCTGGGTTCACGGCTTGACGGGGGCGTCCGGTACATGAACTACCCAGCACCTCCACCAGATGTCACGGGGTCGTGACGTGGCCGAAGACAGGAGACTTCGTGTTGGGATTTAACTGTTTATTTGGGCGAACCTGTGCCCGGTAAACGGAAAGTCCCATTACAGCAGCAGTCTCGCACAGATAGCTGTCTCGGACTGATAGCGGCGAACGGAGCGTTGGCCTTCGATCAACAACTGACAAGCGGCGAAGCGCGTCGGCATTTACACTCATGCCATCGAATGTTCTAGCGTTATCGCTGGCGGTGGCGTAGGTTCCAGAACAATCTGTACGGTTCGCACAGTGGGGGTGATCTTATCGAAATGATCTACTACAGTCCGGAACCTTCTCGAAAACTGCAGGCGCGGTTTGCGCTGAGAATCGTGTGGTGTTTTGGGACGATAACGAAAACTTGGGAAATGAAACGTGGCATTATATATATATATGTGTGTGCGTGTGTGTGTGTGTGTGTGTGTGTGTGTGTGTGTGTGTGTGTGTGTGTGTGCGTGCGTGCGCGCATTGAGGAACGACAGATGAATGTGAGAAAAATGTCTATTTCTTACAATGTTTCGGCTTGAGGGCCTGTCTTTGTCGGGGAATGCAAGGTGCTGTTGGGAATGTTGTGTAACTACGCAGTAACTGGCTCAAGTTTCCTTCACCTTAGGTGCGCCGCCGTTAGCAACAGAGAAATATATGTGATGACACCATTCTAACGTCAACGAAAGTACGTGGCCTTTGTTTGCCATTGCGTGGAAAAACGCATCGGCTCATTCGCATGATGATGCGCTACCATCAAAGCATTTGGGCACTACAGCACAGGGAATACATGCTGACGTTACTGACAGAGCGGCAGAGCTGACGGGCAGCTCGTCAAGCTTTCACCAGTGCGTGTGTGTAAGTTTTGCGGCGATCATAAAGAGAAAACCAGCGTGGCTTTACATGATGTGCCTTACCTGCCATATCGTCGAGCCAGGCGTCCCTAGCTAGTTGCAGCAGTGCATCGCCTTGCTACTAAGCTCACTCTGTTAGCTCCGCTCGCTGTAACGTGCGCGTGTATTTGGCCTTGTGCAGTGACGTTTTGCTCGATCAGCACCGGAATGGGCAAAGGTGTGATGAGTATTTTGTCGGGCCAGTGCAGCGACGGCAAGTAGCCTTCTTTTGTACGAGTGATACACGTTTTAATAAAGCAATCCCGCTCACAAGGGCGCGGCTACGAGCAGAATCTCGTTCTGTACACTTACACTATGCTTACACAAGCGGTAGCGGTGCTGAAGTGTTAACCCACACGTACGTACTGCCGAGCAGGCACTTCATAATTTAGATTCTTCAAGATGTTTATCGATGGTAGATTTTTCGCGATGATGTGCTGGCACGTTCATCGGTAACCGTCATCACGCGCCAGTGTATTTCCGTGCAGACATCATAGCATTCGCGCCGAAGTCCCAGTAATCACTGCATAGGTTGATGCACTTGTCGTAAGCGCGCAACATCGGAGGTTCTTTTCAGTAAGATATGCCATGGAATTTTCGAAAAAATTGAACGTTTGAATACGTGTCATCGAATACGATTATTATGAATACAAACTTGGAATATTCGCACACGTGACTTGTAATGTTTGTTGCCAGTCATGAATATTCGCACTCAAGCTGAAACATTTTTCAAAGGCTACACACATGCAATGCATGTAGACCAATCAGCCGCACATATCAAAGTGTTGAAGTATGCAATTGAAATGTTTAAGGGGAGATGTGGGTTGAAAAACCGTGATTATGAAAAAAAAAAAAAAAGATTTTGTGTTTTGTTGAGTTTTGTATTCCTCCAAGCCTTCTCCATAATATATTGTTACCTTTAAGAAAGGGTTTATTCCAGTGTGACGTACTGGTAGACTCGAAGGTGTCACGCACCGGAGGCCTTTCTCTCTAACCAAACGTCCTCTTTTCTTAATCTCCTTGTTCCTCGCTACCCAGAGGCTCATACTCAAATCACATATGCAGTAACATTTCCCTCCGCGCAGACGAAGCCCACCGGGCTAGTTAAAGGGTTTCTCTGGGAATAAAGCGCTTCAAACATGTGCTATATGGGCAAGTTCAATCTTTGCAGACCGTCGGCCATTTGAATGAAGACGCACTACGTGGTAAGTTAAATTGCTTTTACAGTCTAGAACAACATAAGGTCCCGCATAGTGCGCTACCAGTTTTTCACACAACGCGCGTTTTCTAGTTGGTGTGTACAACAACACGAAGTCTCCGCGATTATACGTCATGTGTTAACGTTGACAGTCAAAGCGTGCCTTCAAGCGATCTTGTGAAGCCAGAGTGCGCAGATAAGCAAGACGTTGGGCTGCTTCTGCACGGCAGACGATCTCAGATATACCGGAATCATAGTGGTCCAAAAACGGCAAGACGGTATTGAGGGTATGTCGAGGCGGCCAAGCATACAGAAGAAAGAACGGACTGTAGCCAGTAGTCTTTAAATGCATAAGTGATGAAAGGTAGCACGCCGTCCCAGTTCTTGTGGGACATACATAGCATATTTATGAGTTCTGTTAGTTTGTTCCTTCAGGCCGTTTGTTTGGGGATGATATGGCGTGAAGTGCCGAAAGCTTGAAGCTCATAGACGAAGCATCTCTGCCATCCCGTCTGCAGTGAATTGTCCCCCATGATCACTAATAACAATTTTAGGAGGTCCATGTCATAAAACCACAAAATGCAGCATGAATAAACACACCTCAGCTGCAGTCGCCGATGGTATAGCAGCTGTCTTGCAGTACCGTGTCAAATGATCGGTGCATACGACTATCAGGCGATTGCCATTAGAAGACCGCGGAAAGAGCCCTAGAAGGTCGATTCCAACTTGCTCGAATGGAGTTCTAGGGGGTGAAACAGGATGTAGTCGCCCTGGAGGAGAACTGATAAGGGCGCTTGCGACGTTGACACTCGTTGCAACTAGAGACTTACTGTTCCGTCGTCTGGCGCATTTTTGGCCAGTAAAACCTTTCTTGAAATTGGCAAAATGTTTTCACTGTGCCTAGATGGCCGGACGTTGAATAATCATGCATAGCCTGCAAGACGGAAATGCGATGACTCTTCGGAACCACGAGTAGATATCGTGAGCTGGTCGTAGGGTAGTTCTTTTTGTATCCCGTCGCGGATGCTGAAGCGAGTCACTCATGTTCTTGACTCGGTAGGATGGAGCTGCTGTGTGGTGCGGTCCCTTTGCTGCTCAGTCTTGAAGGCATTGGTATCAGGAAATGGCAGGTCCAATGATGCGATGTAAGTGTTGAAGTTGCCCGCATCACAGTCCGTTGATAGTGGTAGTCGCGAAATACAATTTGCATCAGCCTGACGACGACCACTTTTATAGGAAACCGTAAAGTCGTATTCCTGCAGACGGAGTGCCCAATGCGCTAGTCGACCAGCTGGGTCACGCAGATTGACCAACCAGCAGAGCGAATGATGACCTGTCACGATGGTAAAGGGGCGTCTGTACAGGTAGGACCAGAAGCACTGCACTGCGAAGACTGCGAGGCATTCTTGCTCTGTGACGGTGTAGTTTGACTCCAAGAACAGGTCATTTAGTCTGATAAGATGGGCTGTGGCACAAAATGTGCTCAATCGTCTCCTCACAGTCGCATGAGTTGCATGCCTCACTGTGAGCCATTCCTATGAGATTAGAGCAGTGCGTTCATAAATGCCACTCCCAACCACATGCGACACAAGAAAGTTTCATCTCGTCCGGATAGTCTAAATAGAAAGCAGAGTTGTAAGTAAGGCTTGATAGAACATGTGCCTGAGTTGGAGAAACTCTGCGTATTCCATTGTAGGAGTGTGACGTGATGAGTAAGCGACGGCAGTTCTCGCGCCGCGTTATTTTAGAGATTGGCGTGAGGATTCGCAGGTCTTTTTCATGAGTCGATCGTGGAGCTTCATCGGCACCGATAGTTCCCCAATGGCTCGACAGCCGTTGAAATGTTTATCATGTCCATTCTCGTGTGCTTGATTGTATTGTCTTACTTCATTCACCAGTTGCTCGCGTAGTCCATGCCGTAATGCAAACTGTAGTGTTAGTATGACTGACCTTGAGTCGCAAAAGATGGCCCATTGATTAGATGGCTTCCGAAGTATGTACTTGGCTGCACCTTGTAGCGCTTTGAGCTCCGCTGCTGTTGATGCTGTGATATGTGAAAACTTAAGTTGCATTGATATGCCATCAGATAGAACAACTACTGCTCCAGTAGAGCACATGCTATGTCAAAACCTAGAACCAAGTCTTTACCAACAGAGTGTTGCACATGCCATGCTTGTCTTCTCTTTCATTCTCAATGTGATTCCTTCATTTTCCAATTGTGGCCACTGAAATCTGTTTTGTTGACTCAGTGCCAAACAGCGAGTTACCTGTAATCACTACAGATGAGGCTGTTCGTGCTTGTTAGGCCTAGTCGGCAGGGTATTTGACAGCATCCCATCAAGCAAAGCTTCCCCTTGACTTGGAAATTACACGTAGAAAAGAATCACAGCCGGGGCTCAGCCATGGCAGCTATCCTGAAAAGACTTACTATGCTCAGAAAGATGGCCTCAAGTAACAAAAGTGAAGGCTGGAGTCACAAAACCAAAAGGTTATAAGTTTTCAGACATTTACGTTGGTTAGTAAACCGTTTCCTCCTTCACTTCATGCATCTGCAATGTGCTGTGTCCTTTTCCTGGTGTGCAACTCCTGGGTGCCAACTCATGGGTAGCGTCATTCTTGTTGGGTAACTATGCCAACGATAGGCATGGGGGAGGTTGAAAGAGTGTGAATCTGTCTTTAGAAGAGGAAATGGGGAGAAAAGACTATGCAATAAACAGTATGAACGGACATGGAGTTTTGTAACATTGTCTACTGCAGCTGTCAACATCCCTCTGGTAGGAAGTATCCCAGTACCAATAACATAGTCCCATTTTTCTTGTGCCCACCAGTGCAAGCCAATCAGAAGCAAGCGCGTCAAGTGCGATGAGTGACGGCCCCCCATCATCGGGCTCGGACTGGCAAGCGAGCTCGAGGTGTCGACGTCGTGGTGGGGCTGCTCCTTCCCGCAAAAAAGGGAAGACTACCCGCTCTGGCTATCGTCGAGATGACTTCGGTAAGTCACCGTGCTCTCCTATCATGTACAGCTGTCCAGTGTTTTGTGTAGGGAGTTTAGAAGAAAGCAAACTAAATTTAAAATTTTCACTGTATAGCCATTGGGACATTTTCATAATACAGTGTAGCCTCAGTGCCCAACCACGGTGGTCTAGCGGCTAAGGTACTTGTAACAATACTGATTGTTGGCCTAGTTGGTACTTGCTTACTGACATGCTTTGGCCACAAATAACACAAACACAAAGTAAAGAAACGCTCAACGACAAGCACAAGCGGCACTTCCAACTAAAGTAGACCGGGCGCAAATCCAGACTTAAGTAACAACATACTGTGTGAAGACTGCGCATGTCTGTATGTTGTTACTTAACGTAATTACTCGAATCTAACGCGCACCTTTTTTCCGGTTAAGCGAGTTCATAAATCACATGCGCGTTAGAAACGAGTACGAAAAAAAAAAAATGAATACGATTATTCTATTGCCATCGGCATTTTCAAAATGGTGGCCATCTACACGCGTCGGTCATTTCTGCCTATGTGTTTCCCATGTGCAGCACTTCGTACGTGTGCTGAGGAGTTCGTCATCTTGTAGTGCATTAGCATCGACGGCATGGAAGGGCCGACTCCAAAAACTCGAGTGCACTACGATGCCGCTTTTAAAAGGGAAGTCATCGCGTGTACAGAAACGGACGGAAATCGGGCTGCATCGCGGTCGTTCGGAGTTTTTGAAACGTGCGTGCGAGACTGGCAGAAACAAAAGCAGAAGATAGTCGACAGCAAAGCTTTACGCAAAGGCAAGTTTCAGTGGACCACAGCAGGGTCGGTTTCCGCAAATTGAAGAGCTGCTCGGCGAGTATGTGCTTGAGCAGCGAGCGGCACAGCGGCCCGTGACGACAGAAGTGCTCCAAGTGCGGACTATGCAGTTAGAAAAAGGTCTAATGCGGAGTCAGTTTAAAGCGAGCAGGTGCTGGCTAACTAACTTTATGAAGAGGAAAGGATTTTCCTTCCGAAAGTGAACGGGCATATGCGAAAAGTTCTGCGGAGGAGTACGATGAAAAGCTTCACAGTTTTCACAGGTTCGTCCTTAACTTGAGGCACAACAATGGCTACCTGCTTGGGCAAATTGGGAATGCCGATCAGGCGCCTCTTTACTTCGATATGCCTGGCACCGCAACCGTCGAGAAGAAGGGGGCGAAGCAAGTTCGCAAACTACAGTGACGGCAATGCTCTGTTACACGTCAGATGGGCACAAGCTTCCCCCCGTACATCATATTTAAATGGAAGACGCTCCCGAAAGGAGTCGTTTTTTCGAGTGGTGTGATCGTGTGGGCCGGCGAGAAAACTGGGTGCGCGTTGCAATCGATGTCTTAATTTTCTTTTTTTCGTCGTGGAAATCGGGTGCGCGTTACAATCAAGGACGCGGTAGAATCAAGTAAATACGGTAAGTATGGATTTGCGCCCGGTCTACTTTAGTTGGAAGTGCCGCTTGTGCTTGTTGTTGAGGGTTTCTTTACTTTGTGTTTGTGTTATTTGCGGCCAAAACATGTCAGTAAGCTAAGATACTTGGCTGCTGACCCGCAGGTCGCGGGATCGAATCCCAGCTGTGGTAGCTGCATTTCCGATAGGGGCGGAAATGTAGGCTCGTGTACTCAGATTTGAGTACGCATTAAAAAAACCCAGTTGGTCGAAATTTTCGGAGCCCTCTGCTACGGCGTCTCTCATAATCATATGGTGGTTTTGGGACGTTAAACCGGAGAAATCAATCAGTGTAGCCTCAGTAATTTAAAAATCTCTTGAGTTTTCATGTAATTGGAACTGCTCAGAAGCTCTCAGCAAGCTGATTGTATTTGGACTGCAAAAAACTTGCAAAATCGTCATTAGTGGACAGCGCTGTAGCTGCACACACATTCAACTTTTAAGACATCTCATGAGTTAAATCTCTGTGAACTGCCAACCAGTACAGTGCCTTAAGTTTTATTAGTTTGTCCAAGGTTAGGGGGTCGGAGTGACCAGTAATGTATACTTATGTTCATGCATTGCTAGTCACTAGGAAAAGCCCCCTCCCCCCCCCTAAATCCTAAGCCTTGCTGCAACAGTTAATTCAGTCAAAATTTGTTGTACTTAGGGGCCACCTTTGTCAACAGAAGTCACATCAGTTCCCTCTCGCATCACTGAAATTGAGTTGAAGCAACCATCAATACCTGTGTGACCAGGAAGATGGTGCACTCTAAGCTACCAGCCATCTCTGTTTGCCTAGCCATTGCACCTGCCACAGAGTGCCTGGAAAATGAGTGCCGGCCACCTTTGTGCTCACTGTCTACAACCATCAGCACATAAACGACACATGGCTGAGCTCATTTGTGTTGCCCTGCAGTGCTGTCCTGTTATGCTCCCTTTTCGAATGTCTGAATAGCTTATATTAATAAGAACTAACAGACAATGATGCTTCGACGTAAGTACCCTCACTGCCACCGTAGCTCAGTAGTGGAGCACCAGATGCGTTATTGGAAGGTCGCAGGTTCGGTCCCTGCTCTTGGCAAGCTATCTTTTCTTCCACTTTTCTTTCTTCTCTCTTCACATTTACATGACAGTTTCTCCTAATGACATGCCCTCTACAGTCGCCGACCGATTTTTCGGACCTGGCGGGGACCGAAAAAAAGTACGAAAAAATCGAACAGTCCGAAAAATTCGTTTTCGCCAAAAATCTGAAGTTTATTGCATCAGGCAGGTTTAAAAAAGTCCTTGATGCTGCCTTGCCTCAAACTACGCTTGGAGGCAATTTGGTTTGCCCGTATTTGCGCCAAGGTGACATCGTCGCCGTAAACGCTCGACAAAATTGTCACCGCGTTGGCGATCTCCGACGGCTGCGGGCGGTCGTCGTTGTCATCCGACGACAACGACGACCGCCATCCGGCGTCGACCGTCATCCAGCGATATCTAGCTGCGAACGTCCACTCTCTACTAGCTTGATTATGGCAGCTTTCTTCTCCATCGTCAGGGTCGTATACTTCCCACGCTTCTTCACACCACCTGGCTCCCGCGATGGCACAGATAGCGGAGCCATGGCACCGAGAACACAAAATTCGATGCCGCAGATAGCCGCTGCGAAGCACACAACGTCTAGACGCTACGCGACACAACACGTGCAGAATGGCGACTGAAAAAAGCTGCAACGACAATAAAAGAATCCTTCTTTCGCCTCCTCCCCGTGCGATGTGATGACGATAGTGCTGACCGAAGACGAAAAAACGGCGTCCATCACCGCGTCTTTTAAAAAGCAAACACGGCCTCCGAAACTTAAAACATGGCGTGCGCATTCCAATCTCGGAGGCAGGAAAGGCATCTGAAGACCAAGCTTAGCCAAGCCGACAGAAAATCCAACATGGCGGCGTTTACAATGGCTTGGAGCGTGGCACAAAACGAGCGATTTAGTCCGAAAAATCGAACTTTCAGGGGCGAATTCGCCCGAAAATCGGTCGAAACAATGCATTAGCTCTATGGAATCCCTGACGGTGCATTTATGAAGTCCGGAATATCCAACAAGTCCGAATTTTTGGAGTCCGGAAAATCGGTCGGCGACTGTACTTTCGTTGGCTTCATTGCCTGCCCCACCACGGTGGCCTAGTGGCTAAGGTACTCGGCTGCTGACCTGCAGGTTGCGGGATCCCGGCTCCAGCGGCTGCATTTACAATGGAGGCAAAAATGTTGTAGGCCTGTGTGCTTAGATTTGGGTGCACGTTAAAGAACCCCAGATGGTCGAAATTTCCGGAGCCCTCCACTACGGCGTCTCTCATAATCATAGCGTGGTTTTGGGATGTTAAGCCCCACAAATCAATCAATCCAACAATCATCATTGCCTGTTATTCCTCATTATTATTGTCTGACAAAGAAAATGAGCCCTTAAGTTTACTTTTTTTCTTCATTCATAGCGAGGGTCTCGTTCTGGCAGACTTGATGCCTTCAGGTAGTGCGTGAGAAATTATTGGTCCGTTGCCAGCTTGTAATAAGATCACATGCTATGTGACACCAAACAGGCAGATAAAGCTTGTTCCACACTCTCTGTAATAGCAATAGGTGGCTTGATTGACGCTCCCACGTTTAAGTGCACATATATACCACATAAAGTGGATTGGGGATTAGCCGCCATTGTAGCTCAGTTGGTAGAGCATCAGGCATGTTATTCGAAGGCCACAGGCTCAGTCCCTGCTGGTGGCTAGTCATCTTTTCGTCCACTTTTTTTCTTCACATTTACATTAGAATTACTTCTAACAACCCCTGTACTTCCTTTGCATGATTGTGTATTAGTTTTCATTAATATTGTGTCTTACAAAAAAAGTGAGCCCTTAAGTTTATAGCTCTTTCCTTTATGAATAGTTTATACGGTGGACTATTAGTAACTGTAAATGTGATTAACGAAACTGCTGCTGTGGGGTCTCGGCGAGGCGAGCGCACGCCACGCTCTTGGAGTGAACGGACACAGCAGACGCGGTCGGTACAAAGCACACAACATACATACATTTATTAACTAATTTAGACGACGATATCGTCCGCCGAATGTTACATCAATTTCAACTAACACGCTACCATACAAACAACATAATGCAGTGACACACTAAACACACAATAACATGATAAACACACACAACACACTAACACATACCAAAGGCGGCGTCGCCAACGCCTGACTTTCCACGTGGGACCCCGGCGCGAAGCCCGCGGTGCCGAGCACCGGGGACCCACGCTACAGACAACCGTTCGCGGCAGCCACCACGCGCAGAAGAGGCTCGCTCAACTCTCGCCCACCACCAAGGCCTGCCTTCCACCAGGGGCCACCGCCGGCGCTACCACTCTACCAACAGTGGTACTCAAAGCGAACACAATGCCATCTATCGCCCGGCGGACCACCGAAATAAAGCCTTGGGGCGAGACACGTGCGCCACGCTGCGCAGACAACTTTGCAGGGGGGGGTGTCAGCACCCCCACATTCCCCCAACCTTAAATCAAACCATATCCGAAATCAAAAATTAGCTACACAAGCTTTAACAAAAAAAAATGATATCACACGACCATAATGTCCTTGCACCACGACACCGCCGCTGGTCGACACTGCTGCACTGTCCGGCTAGACTTCACCTCAGTACCGGCCCCGCAACAGCAACGTTGCCGTCGGCGCGACAATCCGTCGCTAGCGCCGACACGTCTTCCAGTTGCGACCAGCACTCACGAGGGCGCCGGACTGCAGGCAATTGGGCAGGTCCCAGGCATCTCCATCGCCCGACCTCACGACTGCATTCCTGGCCAGCGATGCTGACGATGTGCAGGACAGCTGGCTGTGGATGACATCCCTCCCGCCGAATACATCAATAACAACAACAAAAGAACTCTAAAGAAAACATTCGAGCAGGTCCTCGGGAACGGAGCTTCAAGCTTTTCGTCCACGCGGTACGTTGGTCAGTACTGCTAGCTAATACATCCGTGGCGGCCGAGACGCCCATCAAAATAAAACAAAAATCACTTTTCCTAACCCTTGCATCGCAAGATAAAAAAAAAGTGAGGGAAGTAGAACGCAACACCTCAACGCCACGATCCACCTAGTTGTGCCACGTGCGACAGGCGGCTGCACAGAGCCTTAGGCCTAATGAGTCGCTCGGCAACAACCGGCATCCACCCAGCACCCAGCCTAGGCGCAGAAGAGGCAGCCGCGAGGAGGCGTCCACTCTGTGAGGTGGCCCTATCGCTCGCCGCACACAGCAGCTTACCGAGCGATCAGCGTCCACTGCCCCGGGTGGTGTCACGATGCCTCGGCGTCGAGCCGCAATACCGGACAGCAACAACGCCCGGCTCCCTGAAGTGTGGCAGCTTGGGCTAGTTGGTATGGCATGACGATAGTTATAGCGCGAGAACAAAACGATGACACAGAGATAAGAAGGACCTGAAAGACACTTTTTCGTGTCGTTCTTGTTTCTGTGTCGTCGTTTGGTTCTCGCGCTATAACTATCGTCCGGCTCCCTGAGCCCAAATATATAGAAGAAGCTATTTACAGAAAATCGGACCACCCACGAGGCTTGCGTACTCACTCGCTTCGGGCCTGGCCTACAAACCACGTGCTCTTGGCCTTGTTCACCCCAGGATGCGGACCGCATGGCTCTCGTCCTAATTCAACAACGTTTTGAAAACTAACAACAAAAAATAACAACACTTGCGAGCAAAAAAAATAAATAGAAAGTCAACCTGCCGACAAATTCAAACACGTTACAAAACCGATCTCTTCGCTTCTCAACAAAGCACACCACCGACGCTAGCAAAGAAGTTCCCCCTAGGCCTACTCTACTCCGGCTCTAACAAAATCCCTGTATTGAACCGCAAAAACTCATCCGATACTCCAAGAGTTGGGCAGCCAGTGTGGGGTCTCGGCGAGACGAACGCGCGCATCACCACGCCACGCTCTTGGAGTGAACGGACACAGTTGACGCGGTCGGTACAAAGCAGACAACATAGATACATTTATTAACTAATTTAGGCGACGATATCGTCCGCCGAATGTTACATCAGTTTCAACTAACACGCTACCATACAAACAACATAACGCAGTGACACACTAAACACACAATAACATGATAAACACACACTAACACACCCAACACACTAACACATACCCAAGGCGGCGGCGCCAACGCCTGACTTTCCACGTGGGACCCCGCGCGAAGCCCGCGGTGCCGAGCACCGGGGACCCACGCTAGACAACCGTTCGCGGCACCCGCCACACGCAGAAGAGGCTCGCTCAACGCCCACCACCAAGGCCTGCCTTCCGCCAGGGGCCACCGCCGGCGCTACCACTTTACCAACAGTAGTACTCAAAGCGAACACGCCATCTATCGCGCCGGCTGGTGGTCACCACCGAAATAAAGCCTTGGGGCGAGACACGTGCACCACGCAGGTGCAGACAACTTTACAGGGGGGGTGTCAGCACCCCTACACTGCTTAAATGGAACAAATGTCTCTGATATGATTGGTTTCATCTCTGCATACGGCCCCCAATTCACCCTCTCAGTTCATGAAACTCCTGTTGAAAGGAACAGATTTTCCCGGTCCTTTCAGGTTTCGTTTAATGAGAGTCAACTGTGGTATGTTCCAATCGAATATGCTCAGCAAGTGCAGCGCTGCAGGCTGCGAAAGAAAATGACATCTTGTCATCCGCCCCCGTGTTTGTGTCATTGGATGCAGGGCAGAAACAACAAATCGGTTTACTACAAATAGCCACCTGTAGTAGCGCTGCAGGAGTGCCAGTTACAGTTTTATTCTTTCACAGAATCGTGTGGTGTAGCAACTTGCACTACCTAAATGTCCTCGTTGCAGCAAATGCTTTCGTACCTCGAGCGCATTATCCTTTCGACATAATGACTAGTCTTCTAGAACCATTCGACCGTCATGTACGCTGACTATCACGGTTTTGATCTGTGCTTATGGAATGATTCTAATCGTTGCCAGTGATGGATGATGACTACGAGTCGGACAGCGATGGTGGCTATGGCACCAGGCGTGCAGCTACCAAGCAAGTCAACTACCGGGAGCTCTCTTCGGACGATGAAGAGGCTGCTCCCGTAGGTGAAAAAGAGCAGGTGAGTGACGAAACACACCACCGTCGGAAAGCGCAACGAACTTAACGTTAATGGCTTCCAAAGATTGTCATCAATCTGTGCACGTTTTCAAAGGAAACACAGTGGGACCGTGATGAAGCGGCCACAATTATGACGAATTATCATTGACAACAATGTAAATGAAAAATGTGCATGTTATTAAAGCGGTGCAGTGAATGTGCTGGCGCAACCAATATAAGCTGCAACAAGCCGCCCATGTTCAATGTGGTGCCAGGACTGCTTGGCAGCACTGGCGTAGAGAGCAATTAGTGAAAATAATGCCATTTCAACTGCTGCTGTTTTCTAAAGCTGTTAACATTCGTTGGTGTGAATGTGTAGCTTTGCAGTGCCTTTGATTGCGGCCACTGTGTTGCAAGTCATATTGAGTGCAACTGTGCCTGTATAACAAATCTTCACATATAACGAAGGTTGTGTGAGACGACATGTGGCTTGACTGTGCATACTTTCATACCATATTTTCGTGCGTATAACCCGCACCAAAAACACAAAAATTCAGTGGCAAAGTGGAGGTGCGGATAATACGCGGGGTTTTTTCTGTAGTGCTGCTTCACAGCAATGCGTGTTGTGCTGTGAAGCCCCTTAACAGTGTAGCGAAGGCTACGGAGGCGGTTTCCGCAAGTAGCATGGCAGCTTGCGGCCGATTTTGGTTTCGCTTGCTTGCACCGTTGAAGCATTTAGAAAAACATTTGGGGAGAGACAATTCGATTGTTCAGTGTAAAATCTCACTGTCACACCACAAGTATATTTTTTGGACGTTCGCGGCCTCTCAGTGACCCTTCACATGTCCCTACGTCACGGACGTCATGTTTACTTTCGGAAAGGGCTTGCCGAAAAGGTGGTGCTGTCTAAGAAAGTTCCATAATAAAGTAAGTTCCATAATAAATAAAGCAGTATTTATTTCAGCAAGACAAATAAGATGTTATAGTGCCTATAGAGATATTATCAGTAAAATAATGTACTACTTTTTGATGCGGTAGCAGGCATACATTTCGGTTCTGTTGTTTCCAGGGTGCTGTTACAGTGTACTAGAAGGGGTAGTGCTGTAATGTTGTTGCCGAGTGTGAGCGCTCTTTACATCGCTGATACCGCTAGTTCTCCACATATTGACCCGTTCGCCAAACCTTAGTCAATCTGTTCTGTCACCATGAGTACCGTACGGCTGCAGGCTTTCACGGCACAGCAAAAGCTTAAGATCATCGCCGTCGCCGAGGAATTTGGAAATCGCGAAGCGGGAAGACGGCACGATGTGGACAAGTCCTGCGTGCGACTGTGGAGAAAGAAGAAAGAGAGCCTACAAAGCCGCGCACCGCGACCGTAGGTCATTTCGTGGCCCCAAGACCGGTGCCTACCCTGAGCTGGAGGCGGAGCTAGTAAAGTTCATCGAAGATGTGAGAAGCAGGGGTCACGCCGTATCGACCGAGATGGCCCAAGTGGAAGCGCGGCGGCTTTTGAGGGAGCTAGGCCTACCTCACGAGTTTTGTGCGAGCCGCGGATGGCTGCACCGCTTTATGAAGCGGCAAGGGCTCTCAATCAGACGGCGGACTACAATATGTCAACGCTTGCCGGCTTCTTATGAGGAGAAGCTGCTCAAGTACCAGAGATATGTAATTGGCCTACGAAAGCAGCACAACTACATTTTCTCGCAAATCGGCAATGCGGATGAAACTCCTGTTTATTTTGAAATGCCGTTGGACGCAACGATTGAGAAGACGGGCAGCAGTTCGGTAAGCGTGCTGACTGGCGGGAACACGAAACTGCGCATCACAGTCTTGCTTTGTGCCCTCGCCGACGACACGCAACTGCGACCGTACGTCATCTTGAAAAGAAAAACTCTACCAAAGGTTCATTTGCCTGCCGGTGTGGTGGTGCACGCACACGAGAACAGGTAGATGAACAGTGACTTGTTCGTAGACTGGATCAAGACGGTATGGGAGAAGAGGCCCGGTGCGATGCTCGCAAAAAGGTCCATGCTCGTTCTTGACTCGTTCCGCAGCCACACAACTGAGGAAGTGAAGGACCGCCTTTCACGCAACGGTACCGACTTAGTTGTTAAACCCGGTAGAATGACGTCAATGTTGCAGCCTGTAGAAGTGTCGCTTAACAAGCCCTTCAAAGCGCATGTCAAGCGCTATTACACAGAGTGAATGGCCGAAGGCTGCTACGACTTGACGCCGACAGGGCGAGTCCGAAGACCTGATATTGCCCTATTCTGCAAGTGGATTGTCGAGGCATGGAAGGCCATTCCAGGTGAGATGGTGCGAAAAAGTTTCAAGAAATGCTGCATCACAAACAACATGGATGGAACCGAAGATGACATTGTGCATAATAGTGAGGACTGCGGCTCAAGTGATAGCTCTAGCGAGAGCAGCGACAGTGAGTGAATTGTGACTGGCCTTGCAGACAGCGTATTCTGCTTGCTAAATAATGCTTTTTCCGTCTACATATGTGCTATGTTGCTTGAGCAGTAGCTTTTGTACAGCCTTTCCTGTATATGAAATGTGCGGGCAATACGCGAGGATTTTTTTTTTCTTTCTCGGTGAGCTGAAAGTGGGGGTGCGGATTATATGCAGGGGCGGGTTATACGCGCAAAAATACGGTAACATTTTAGGAAGTGTACGGCTTTAGCATGAAAACCAATACTGGTATATACAAATCGGAACCCATATTCAAGGGGCTGGTGGGATGACCACAGTAGCTTGCTACAGTATGCTACTGATATTGAATACAATCATGTAACAGCTGGCAGCTAATGACATTATAAACAAGGGTAAAATTATAAGTGCATATTTATGACTGTGCTGTTGACAGTTCCTAATTAGACCACCATGCTCAGTACACCAGCCAATGTGACAAGCTTCTGCCTTCTTGCATTATGGTTGTGTTTCAGGCGTCGAAAGGTGGCACGCGTAAGTAAAAGTAGCGAAAGCTTCTTTATGCATTTCTTCCTGCATGTTGTCGATATTTCCGTGAGTTGTCTCTCATCTTGCTCTTATTCACTCAACCTACAGTATCTATAAATTCATAAGTTTTATGCCACATCTTATGCTAGTATTTCCTGTCCTGGTTCTATTCCTTCAGTTTGTTTTGGGTCTTATGCTGTTATAATATAGGTAGTTGAATCACGCTTTTAACTTGAGCTAGTTTCAGATTGGTCTGAAAAGTGTAAATCTTACCGCCATGTGCTGCAGGAGGTGTCAAATATGAATTCGCGAATGTTCATAGATGAAGAAAGGCATCTGTCGCATGCAGAGTACATCGAGTAGTATATTAGTACAGCTTTCTTTGCCATCTTTGAGGCCCTTGGAAAACATTAGTATGTGCAAATGCCAGCGTCAAGACCCTTCAAATAATTTCCGAAATGTGCTGGAAGATTATTGAACCTTATTTACTTTTGGCTAACCTTAGTAGACTTTTCTCTGCATTTTACCTTGAAGTTCAGAGTCGAGCCATCCCCGTTTTGATCAGTATCATAGTGGTGTGCAGCTACCATATGTTCTTTTTGGGGCTTAATGACAGTGTTTGCTAGTCACTTGCTTAAGAGGCTTTATCTAGCCTCCCTCGTGTCCCTGTTCTGTGAAAAAGGATTGTATCGTAGTTTCGAGGGGCACTAAAAGTAAATATTAAGTTGACGTTGATTGTTGAAATAGTGGTCCAGAATCCTTGTAGTGCTATTTTTGTGCCAAGGAAGTGCTTATTTTGAAATGAAATCCTATTTTAATGGTCCGCATCATGTTAGCGCACTTCGAATCACCCACGCATGAAAGAAAATGCTTAGCGTCACTATTTGTGTGCCCAGTGTTGCACGCCTTTACTGCGCAGCCACCAGCACCAGTATCAGCAGAGCGAAAGTAGTGGGAGCCACGGTAGCAACAACGACTATTAGACAACTTTATGCAATTTCGGAGGCCATGATTCTGCTTGCTTAGTTCAACTGGGCCCTGCTATATAGCACCACCTATCTAGCCTAACCAGCCAAAAAACTGAATCTTTGAACTACTCGCATTATTCTCCATTGTAACGCCAGGTGGTTATTTTTTTTTATAAATCAAAAAAGAATGGCGAAGCAGCATTTCATTACAAGTTTTGGTATATATGAAAAGTTTTTTTTTTATTGCGGCTAGTTTGATTACTAGTGATTAGTTCTAGGCAGACACTCCCACATCATCGGATTCATTTCAGAATTGTCCCACTCGTGGCGCACGTCATGTGATACATTTAGCTTAATATCTCTATAAGTAAGGCTCTATCATTGATAATATTGCCGTTTTAGACGTCATACATTGAGGTTTCACTACGACATAAATTGTCCTTGGCCATCAGTGTCCCTTTAAGCCAGTATTTTTTGTGCAGTTGGGTACTGTAGCACCTCACCCCTTGAAAAATTTCTCTCGATGTGTCGAAATTTTTTTAATATGCTTGAATTCGTTCTGCAAAGGCTGCTACGAATTCCGATTGTACCAGGTACTACCTTCAGCATGCGCTTTACAGTGCAGTCCACTTATAACGATACCACATATAACGATATATCGGTTATAACGATGGGTCGACTTAACAGTCTCATTTTATGCATTGGGGCTATGGGGAAAAAAACCATATATAACGATATGTTATCCACCGCATATCGGATACAACGATGAAAAGTTTGCCGTGGACGGCATGTTTCATTCAGAATAATCGTAACATTTAGATTGATAAGTTCCTCTGAAACGAACTATGCCGAGACAAGACGAAAAGTTAGCGTAGGCGAGTACGTATCTGCCGCCACTGCAGCACAGCGCCGGCAGTGCGTCCCGGCCGTTCAAAAAGCCGAGGAGAGCATCGCGAGTTGGCGCGACCCGCTACAGATGGCGCGAGCTGTGTCACGTTTTGCGCCTCGCCGCGCGTTGACCGCGGAGAGGCTGAGAGAATTTAAAAAAAAATTCGAAAAGCAAAGCGCCGCGGCGGCATCGGGGCGGGGCCTCGTTGGCATTCCGGCTGTGTACCTCTGGCTGTGTTTTCTTCCTCCCACTGCTCCCACCCCACCGTCGGTCAGTCTCTCTTCCTCAGCGATCGCGCGAGCAACGTCTAGAGCGGAGCAGAGACAACCCTCTGTGGCGCCGACGAAGCGAAAGGCCGTGTCGCTTGAGACAAAGTCGAATATTTTGCAGGATTCGCGACGCGGTTTTAAAGTGAGCGCCCTCGTAAAAAATACGAGCTCGCCCAGTCGACGATCTCGACCATCCTCAAAGCCGGAAGCACCGCGCTTTTGAAGGCTGGAACCAGTGGCCATGCCGACGAGCGGAAGAGAGTTCGGGAGCCCTTGTATGCAGACGTCGAAGAGGCACTCTACCAGTGGTTCTTGTCGATCCGTGCCCAGAATGTGCCGATTAGTGGGCCAATACTTGCCACAAAGGTGAAAAACTTGGGCTTTCTGCTTGGTCGGCCGAATTTCAAACCCGGCGGCGGCTGGATACAAAGATTTAAAGAGCGGCACGGCATTGTGTACAAGAACGTGGTGGGAGAAGCGGCCTCTCTCGATTCAGAGGCAAAGCAGCAGTGGCTCCAGACCAACCTGCCCGTATTGATGGAGCGCTTCTCAGCCAGAGACATTTACAACTGTGATGAGACTGCCCTTTTCTTTCAAATGACACCATCGAAGACGCATGCTTTGAAGGGCGATCTGTGTCCCGGCGGTAAGCACTCCAAGGTTAGGGTAACCGTATTACTTTGCGTGAATATGGACGGGAGCCATCGGCTCAAGCCCTTCGTGATCGGGCGATCCAAGAAGCCTGTGTGCTTCAGGAATCAGCACATCCCGGTCCGCTATAGGAGCAACAAGAAGGCCTGGATGACCCGTGTCTTGTTCGAGGAGTGGCTGCTCGAGATGGACAGTGTCATCGAAAGTCAGGGGCGGAAGGTGGTGTTGCTGCTTGATAACTGTAGCGCACACAACGTGAGCCCGAAGCTGACATCAATTGAATTGATGTTCCTGCCGCCGAATACGACGGCAGGCTTGCAACCGCTAGACGCCGGCGTGATTGCTAACTTTAAAGCGTTGTACCGGCGACGCATGCTCGAGTGGCTCGTGTTAACGATTGACCACTCGGCTCCCGGTACGTCGGGCAATGCAGGCGGGCCCTCTGATGCCCCTGATCTGAAGATTAGCCTTCTAAAGGCCGTGCGCTTCGTTTACGGCGCGTGGTACGAGGTGAGGCAGACCACCATTCAGAACTGCTTCAAGAAGGCAGGCTTTGTGCGCCAGGACCAGCCTCCCTCGTCTAGCGATAGCGACAGCGAGACCGGCACGGAAACTGCGGATCTGGCGGAGCTCTGGGAGCACGTCGCTACTGTTGATGCAGATAGCGGGTGTGTCGCGTCGGTTGAGGACTTCCTGACGGCAGACAGTGCTGCTTCGTTCTGCGATGAACTCACCGACGAGGCAATCGTCGCGGATGTGTTGTCGCGACAGGCGGTGGCGTTGTGCGACGGCAGCGACAGTAGTGATGAGGAGGTTGACAGCGCCTCTACGACCCCGTCGATGACGACACAAGGTGCACTGATGTCTATCGACTCCCTGATTGACTTTATGCACATCAAAGGAATGCCGCCAGAGTTTTCGCAGCAGCTGGAAGCTATGCGCATCGCGGTTGTGAAGCTGAAACTTCGCGGAAGCAACTGCAGATTTCGGACTACTTCGGCGTGCCCAACCCGTGATGCGTTCTTCGGAGTAAGAAATAAAGTCTTGTTTTTGACATCCTACTATCTACAATATTTAATAATTGGTGAAAATAGCGAAATGAAGCCTGGAGCTACAAAAGGTACGTCCGGCGACGATTTTTTGGCGGCAGTCCAGATATAACGATCACCGGTTATAACGATCATATTTTTAGGTTTTCTCGATATCGTTATAAGTGGACTGCACTGTATCTTTTTCTCTTTTTTTGCTTATTGTATCAATAGAGTTGAAAAGTAGTGATATTTATTAAGAAGTATGTGCTGCGCATCTGATCTATTGTGAACCACTCAGTTCTAGGCGGCGCCGGGCCAGAAGCAGCTCCGAGAGTGACAAGGAGTGGCGTTGCAACAAAAAGCGGAAAGGCAAGGGCAGGCGCACTTGGCGAGCCAGCTCCACATCCGAGGAGGAAGAGGCAGAGTTCACTGAGGAGGAGAGCTCTGACGACAACCGCAGGCGAAAAACAGCTAAGCGGCAGCCACATTCTTCTGAGGAAGAAGATGAAGGTCCCAGCGAGGAAGATGACAGCAGCTCTGAAAAGAAGACAAAGAAGCCGCAGAAGGAGACCAGCAAGCCAGAAAAAAAGAAGCCAGCCCCACAGAAGCCAAAGAAGCAGCTGCGAAGCAGCTCAGAAGAAGAAGAGACGGATGAAAGCGAGGAAGAAGAGGAGGAGAGCAGCGATGCTGCCTCGGATGATGGAGAAAGGAAGTTCGCCAAGAACCGCCGCATAATTCGATCTGATGATGAAAGTGATGAAGAGAAAGTCAAGGAAACAGCAGAAGTTAAACCAACTACATCCAATAGCAAAGAGGCATCGAAAGCAACACCTTGCGGTGCTGAGGCAGCAGGTGGAAACAAACCTCCAGCTGCGAGCACTGAGCCTGCTCCCGCAAAGCAGTCGCCTCCTGATTGTCCCGTTACCTCGCAGCCTAATCCTCCCCAGGAGAGTGCTTCTCTTGGCGAGGCAAGCACCAGGCCAGCGGTTGTAGCTGCGATACAAGGCTCTCCCAACTTGAGTCGACGCCTTCTTGCAGTTCCAGAAACCCGCCGCAGTGTTTCCCCGATGCGTTTGGCAGGTGACGATAAGGGCTTTCCCGAAGACGAAGAGGAGGAAGACTCTAACAAGGGCTTTCCACCCGAGGAAGAAGACCTGGAGGAAAAGGGGTTTCCGGAAGAACCGTTGCCACAACCAGTTCCACCCCTGGGCAATAGTAGGGGTCTCGCACCTCCACCAGGGCACTACCCGCCAGTTCGCCCGTCATATCCTTTCATGGGACCACGGCCACCGTATGGGCATCAGGACCCATATGGAGACTGTGTGCCCATGGACGGTGCCTATGGGAGACCACTTGCACCAACTTCAGCGGATCCGTACACACGTGGATCACCCAGCCCTCCCCAGTTCACGAGCCTTGACACTCCTCTTCCTCAGCATCCTCATCCGCCGCCACTCCCACCTCACGGACGGGGCCGGCATCTGACGCCCTTGGAGGGAGGCCAGTATCGAGACCAGTACCGGCCTCCCGACACCTATCAGCCACCCCCAGGCTACTACGGTGGAGGGCCTCCGCCACATCCTCCTGTTGGTCCACCCGGCCCTTACCGGTACCCACATCACCATCCTCCACCACCGCCGTCAGGCTACCAGCACCCTCATCCTGGTTACTACAATCGGCCGCCCGCTTATTATGGGCCTCCCCCTCCTCCTGAAGAAAGTGGCTATGGGCCACCTCCTCCTCATCACCCCCCACCACCACAGCAGCCACCGCCACCACCAGCCCCGGGCAGTTCCTATTCGGAAGGCCCCCCCGGCCCTGACCAGCCTCAGTGGGGGGCAGGGCCTCCACCACCCCCTGGTTCAAACCCACAAGGGCAAGATGGCGGCTTCACCATTACGAACATTCTGCGGCAAAGGAATGCTGGCGATGGGGGAGAAGAGGACGAACTGAAGAGTGTGACGGACATTGTGTCGTACATCACACAAGAGTAGCGTAACAGAACTCATCGTCCTGCATTGTGAGAAGGAGACACCTTTCTTCAACGTCGTCATGTGGTGTGCGTGTGTTTATGTGCATGGGTGCATTCACTCTAGACTTCTCTCGCCGACTGTGAACATTCCGGATCAGCGGTGTCTGCATTTGGTTGGTTGGTTTGCCCTTTCCTTGTGTGCGTGTGTGCATGTGTGGCCGAATGGTCTTGACACAGAGCTGAACGAGTGAGTGTGCATACGGAACTGGGAGAGTCGAGGACTGAATTCGGTATGTGCATTTTGGGCCCTGTTCGTGCGCTGAACTTCTTCAGTGATCTAGTGTTCTAATGCATCTGTGGTAAGCACTTTTACAATGAAAAGTGTCTAGAAATGCGGCGTTGTGTCGGCCTGCCTCACTATATCCTGGCGGTTCTCTTCCTCAGGTTGCGGGAAAGTTTGAAAGAAATCGAAGGCGCTGTGTCGGCCTGCCTCACTATATCCTGGCGGTTCTCTTCCTCGGGTTGCGGGAAAGTTTGAAAGAAATCGAAGGGATATATTGTAAAAGGCAGTTGAGGCACTTCTTTTCAAGCATAGCCTATGACAGGTGGTTTTGAAGAAAGTTTGCGTGCTTCATGCACAATGATTGCCGCTTGCAAGAAAAAGCTGTGTAGTAGCTGCACACTAATATCTACCTGTTTTTAAGTCAGTGTTGTCCGTCTCGGATTCTAAGATTGGCAAATGAAAGATCCAGTGAATGGCTTATGAGCAGTTGTCAGTGCGTCTCATTATTCCTGTGTGCATTATGATCTGAAACTAGCATATTTTTTGGCAGTACAAATTATTGCTTTTAACTTCATTAAAACAAAACTATCTACAGTCGAACCACGATATATCGAACGGTGCGGCGATCGCGAAATAGATCGATATATCCAGAATTCGATATAAAAAAAATCACGAAAAAAATGCGTCAACAGCTTGCTGAAAACAACCAACGAACCGTTCAAGCGTTGTGCAGTAAATGCTCACTTGAAGATTCAAACATAGTATTTATTGTGTTGGTTTAAAATATTGAAAAAGAGTAGCCTGCTTTTTGTTGGCCATGGCGTGTTTGACGACTGCGTCCTCAATATAGTCCAGGCGATCCATAAGTGATAGGCCGGTGCCTTCAATCCCGCCGCAGTGGCGGCGCACAAAGGCCAAGGCAGCTACGACCTCAGCTGATGTCGGGAGCGGGGCACCATCAGCGCTTGCGGGATCCACCTCGGCAGAGTCTTCATTTGGCTGCTCAGCAGTAGCTTCGGCGACAATCTCCACATCTGTGAGCTCCGCCATGAGCTCCGCCATTCGGCGTCAGGCCTGTCGCGCACCACAGCGCGCGACAGGCCTAACTCCGAACGCACGAACACTGCGAGCACAACGACCGATGCCTGCTGATGCTACGGGGGAGGAGCTTGCAACAAGTGCGCAGTGTGCCGTTGACACCATAGAGACTGCAACGACTGCAAAGCTGCGGCGTGAGTCCGGGTGTAAAGCGCGCACATGGCGTGCCCATGCGGGCTCGCCTGACTGCTTTCCCTTTCCCGGCGGCAGCGCAGGCCGCGTCCGAGACAGTCGTCTGCGTCCTTTCCCTCCTATACTTTCCTCCTCAATCTTTACCTCCTACTCCCCCTTCCCCCGCGCGAAGCCGTGTCGGTGCCTTCGTATTGAAAGACAATAACAGCTCCGCGCTTTTCTCTTCACTTTCCTCATTCAAGAACCTCTACCACAAGGCTGCGGCGCGCGTATGCCGCTACGTTAAAGTGGCGCTCTCGGCGCCATCGATGTGTGCAGCATTCGTAAACCGCCGCTCTACCGCTACTTTCGAGAGTTGCGGGAAAGCTCGCCGCCTGTCAATGGAGCTCGGGCGGTTTGGAGTGGCAGAGTTCGATATATCTATTATACGTCAAACTTTGTTCGAAATAAAAAATCAATAATGCATGCGATTTCCCGCGTGATATAGGAACCGTTCGATATAGGCAATAATTCGATATATCCGTGTTCGATATATTGAGGTTTGACTATAGTGCTAAATGTTGCATTCCAAGTCATTAAGGCGCACCTACAAGAAGTTGTGGTGAATGCCTCCTGCCAACATTACAGGTTCAGTATTGAGGAACAAGCACGTTGAGGATAACTGTGGTTAATTTAAGATTTACGTGCACAAGTTTTGTTTTCACGATCTCCCCACAAATGAGTGTAAGCTTAATCTTACGAACAGTGCAAACAACGAATGAACATGAAAATACACAACAACATGGGCGCTGTCATGTGTCGACCTTCATGTCCATGTGTTGTTTGTGCTCTTCTGAAGAGAAAGCTTAACCGATTTGACCAATTGTTTATTCCTCTAAGCGTCATTTGAGCAATGTGTTCTATGCCTTACCTGGCAAGCAGCAAACTAGAAATGCTAAGCCAGGTTTTCTTTCCGCCTTGCCATATTCAACTTACAGTCTGTCCGTCACGCAGCAATATTTCGGTAACTCAAATTTGAAGACTCTTTATGTAAAGGTGCGCAGTTTCCTCTCCGATGCCTTCACATCGGAGAGAGAACTAGCCGAACTGATGCCTTCGAATACATGACTAGTTTTAATGCCATGTGCATCGTGTTTTATGCATTGAGTGACCACTATTACTGTGAGTTACTTCTTCACCTAACTGCTTTCACAGACTGAATGCACTGCTGCAGCTCAGCTCAGGAGAGGAGCTTGTTATTGCCTCACCAATTCCACTGTTGTATGATCGTGTCCAACCTTTCTGCAATTCGGTACAATCTTCAGTTGCTACCTCCGTGCTGCTTGCGCTTGTTTCATTTTTTATGCCACTGCTGTGCTGTTCGGGTGCAGTGATTCGCTTGTAGGAAGACTTTATCATTTGTGGTGCTCAAATGCCATTAGCGCTGTGCGCAAAGGGAAGAGCTGGTGCACGAGAAGGCTGACAAAACTCACGGCCTGGTAACTTGGCCCGCTGACAGCATCTATTTCTATCACAGATATCAGCCCCTGGCTCTTGATCTTGACATGAGGGGTCCTCGGTGATTAAGACTCACTTAATAAAAAAAGAGAGAAAGTATGCTCGACACAGGATGGTTTTTCCTAGCATCTTTCATAGGAAAAAGCGATTGCTCAACTGGTTGTATGAAAAATCACATGGTGAACTACTACTACAAGGCCTGCACTGAGGATGAACGTCACAAAATGCATACTGGTACTTTCACAGAAATCTGTTCTTCTGGGAAGTTACCCTTCCTGGAAACGAAAACTTCATGGCCTTGTCGCAGTAAGCAGTTCATCTCACTGTGTGATATCAATTTCCAACATAGATGTTGTAAGGCAGTTGGGAAAAAGAAAAAAAAAAAGAACTCATTATTATATACACCCAGTCACCCATGAAAGCATTGTAGAGGTTCAAGGAAGGGCGGCAGCGTGCATGCGCCACAGTTTGTACATCAATACTTAAAAAAAAAAGGTTGAGCATGAGTGGGTTTGAAACCGACCGGTTACATTGTCAACTGGCAATGCCTTTATTTTTATGACTGTTCGGAGTAACCCGTATTTTTACCATGTTGTAGTGTATGTTGTTGGTGAGGCATATTGATCAGACATCATTACACACTTTTCGAATCAATTTTCTTTTTATCCATCTTACTCCAAATGACCTAGGCTTCTAGAACAAATGGGAAAAAGAAAAGCTTGCGGAACTGTGCTGCCAGGGTGTGCTGCCTGCAATTCAGTTTGTTTGTGCCTCGATTGTGTGCTTATGCTGACGTGCGCCTGCCCGCAAAAATTTTTGGAATGCTCAGCTCTGGAACAAGGGAAAAACAAACAAGTTACTTCATGGCATGTATGTAACGTTGCGGATACAATCGGACGAACACAGGAAGGAAAGAAGCGCGAACGAAAGTTGCGCTCTTTCCATTTACGCTTCTTTGCTTCCCGTGTTCGTTCGATTGTATGCGCAACGATACATACCACAGACATGCACCAACTCGCTTAGCAAGAAGTTCTTCTTAAATACTTCATGGCATTGAATGTTCCGCAGAATAGTAAATTGTCGAAAGCTGAGTGGTGTTTTGAGTTGCTGGCTGAATCTGCAAAAGGGATGGCGCATGAAGCAGGTCATCAGAGTAATTTTGTGTTACGGTTGTTTTAACATTTTAAGAAAACCGTCTCATGCCATTGATGTCAGAAGTTTGGATTTCCCGTCAGCATTCTAAGTATCTTTGTGGCCGGGCGTACTGCTCTGTTACCATTGAGAAATGCCCTCACATTTGTACATATCATCTTAAGTTATGCATATATATATTTTTAATTAGATACATTATGTTGCTATGTATGTGTTTGGTCCACTTCACAGGCTGCTAGTGCTCCTGCTTTGTGCCTAATAATTTTTTGCATGCAATTTATTAATTTACAGCATTATTAGTACAAGCCCTGGAAGCACTTTGCTTGAAATCTATTGGTACATCACTGCAGCACCACTAGCAGCCTGTAGAGTGCATCTCTGTAAGGAAGTTTCTCGAGTGTCGAATAACTCCTACGCAGGAACACAATTATGAGTGTGCATTTATTGCTTTTATGTTGTGCAATATGCCAATTCAGTAGGTTAAGAATTTTGCGGTGTACAATAAATTTTACCTGCGCTTCTCGCGCTGCCATTCTGCTGAATTTGGTGTAACTGCTGGGATTTATTTCAGGCTTGTGGGAATTTCCAGATAATTGGTGGCATATTATGCTTATAAATTTTTGATTCAGTTATATTTGATTACTAGCAATATACAAAGTGCTATTTAAAAGGAGTGAAAATGAGGTTTGAGATACTACACGGTTTGTTGTTTAGCAACTGAATTAAAAAACTAACATAAGAGTGTCTAAACCACATAAAGAATACGTAGTATTCAGATCGTCTTGGTAAAGCACAGCCTCTTTGTGAAATTCAATGTTTGTAGTATGATACAAATTATTTTTTTCAAAAGCAGGCTTTCTTTTTTTTGGTTGGTATGTATGTCCATTATTGCATCTTTTATCTTTAAAGGGCCCTGGCAGCAAGAATAACGTGGCAAAAAGGGTTTTACTGCAAAGGGCAACATTTACATTGCACATGACGGCAAAACTGTACAGTCATTTCATCTCTCCGTCAATAATAAAACTTGGTCACGGTTTTCTGGGCGAGTCTCCTAGCCCCCTGCTGTAATAAAGCTTTTTGTACATAGATGTCTTGTCCAAACCGTGTAACCAAAGGCATGTCAATAAAAAAAGAACAGCTTTCCTTTTTTTTTGTTGGTTTGTGTCAATCTTATCCCTTGCTGATGTACATCCATTCAACATTACGGCCGTGTTCCTAATCAGTCTGAGGGATGCTTTCACTTCTGAGAAATTTCTTGCAAGTAGCGTCACATATATAAAGCAACATTTTCTGTAACTTGCTCTAGATGCAGGATTTCCTGTAAACTAGCAATGGATGAAGCAAGGGCGCAACGCAGTCTGATGTCGCATTGTACTTAAGGGAATGCCATTGCCTGTAGTTTCATTGCACTGCCCGCACCCAACCTCCTGGCACTTGTTGGAAGAATAGTGGCAGAATGGATAAAACAATGTCAATGAACGAGTGATGAGCTTCCCACTATGGCGTGCCTTTGGTTCCCATCCTTTTGGGCATAAAGGTAGGAGTTAAACACTTGAATTGCAACATCAGTTGTTCTCAGCTATGCTCATCGTGTAAAACTGGCATGGCAATAACCCTGTACTTTAAGCGGGGATAGACAGCAAAGACATGTGTGCAACTACTACTGCCCATTGCTCAGTTATTTTTAAGCAAATTCTACAAAATTTTGCAAGTGGCTTGAATGGAGGTCTTACAAGATGTCTTGTGAATTTGCCAAGAATATACAAAGCTATTCTAAAGATA